GGACAATCACATTCACTTTAGGGACTATCTTTGTGCTTTTAACTATATCTAGTTACGTGCATCCTGGTAAGTTGATTTAAGTCTGAAATGTTGATGATGCCTGAACGTGTTGTCTATAGGCTGCTCACTGCGTTTTGAGACCGTTTACATTAAATTCGGAAAATAACGCATACATGATTTCTTAGTATTTTGTTCCCTTAACTTTGTTATTTCTGTGCGAAACACTGTTTCACACACACCTCTTGTCGCTTTTCTTTTTCACAAAGGGCTGTTAAACTCCTGTCGGGTGAGAACATTCAGATTTAAGCTTCTTGTTGCCAGTTGTGCAAGAGCTAATCCGTTAGGTGCTGATGTTTTGGTTAGTTGGTTTGGTTTTAGTTATGTTGTTGACATGACGCTTTTATCTACAGGTTTAAGCTGGTATGGTCTTAAGCTGGTTTTTAACTGGTATATCTGATTGACAACTGGCTTTCCGCCTGACCAAGCAGCAAACCAGTTTAGGTTTGATTGATTGAATGGCTTTTAGGTCAAGGAAACAGTGCTTATGAAGAAAACATTCTGTGGTTTGAACCTGGCACTTTCACTTGCCACTTTCATCTACCCGTAATATCATGCAGGAAAAAAAAAGACTAAGACTAAAATGTTTTACTGGGTTACGCTGGTTTATCTGGACTCCCAGCCTGGCCAACCAACTTGTCATCTCACTGGTGATTTAGCTAGAACCTCTCTAAAACCAGCAAACAGAACCAAGACCTGCAAACCAGCTGGTTAAAGTCTGGAAAACTCCTTATCACATATATATTAATGATAGTGGCAATTTGCAAGGCAAATGTAAAAGATGGTGAATTACAAACAGTCACCATCAGTTGCCGCAAATGCAAATATGTCAGGTAAAATGTAAGTATAAGGTTTGTAACTCTTTAAACGTAAAGTTGATTTGTTTATTACTATTATCACCATCAGAATTATTATTATTATTTAGCAGTATAATAATCTTATTTTATGTGCAGTCATCAACAACATTCCAGAATAATTCTTACTGTATGGCAGAAAAAATGTTACCTGTAAAATAAAGTAAAAATTAGAGCTACTGTTTTGTTATTTACTGTATCTAGTCAAGTTGATTTAGATGGTACCACATTCAGCACCTTTTTAGGTTAACCTACACATATATATATATATATATATATATATATATTTATTATTATTATTATTATTATTATTATTTTTTTGTATCTTCTAGTCTCTAAGCTTTATGTATATACATCTGATGAAATCAATTATTTGTACACATGTGTGACTGGCAGTCTTACAAAAGTCTTCTACCTCGTAACCTTATGAAAGTCTAAGGGTCTGATTGCATCAGTCTTAGAAATAACTGGCTAAAACAGACAGATAAACGTTAGGAAATGATTAGCAATTCACTCAAGCTTTTAAAGGCACTTCAAATTGCATTGCACAGTTTTAGTCAATGTATTGAAAGGGAATTGCATGGTAATGCATTTGTGGTGAGGATATGAGATAGGATGTTTGAGGTGGCTCTTCCTTTAAGCGCTTTTATTCTTTAAATGTTGAGTTTGCAAATTGGATTCAGCTTCATCTGTGTGTAGTTTTGTTTGAAACCTGTAAAGTGCAACTCATTCTGTTGCTAAAGGATGATTGTGTTAATATTTATTTACAAGAAGATAGAACAGATCTGCACTGAGTTTCAGATCTACGCCTTGTATCCAGGCGTAATAACCTTCTGCTTTGCAGTGCAAGCTTATATACGTGCATTGCGAGATTTGAATATTGCTGCACTGTGGGCTGGTTCAATTAATAATTCACTTAATGTTATGCTTACATTGATTCACAGAGGCATTTCAGGTATTGTTTTGCTCATGAAGATTCACAAGTTCTTCAGATGTCAAAAGTCTAGGCCTTTTCCTAACTCAACAATTCATTGCAACATTTGCCTTTGGTCCTGCAGATAAAGGGTCAAGCTGTGCATGCTTTTGTGAGATACTAGAGTGGCAGTTCAAAGAGAGCTTCTTCTCAGACCACGGGTCAGGCCAGAAGATGTGAATGCTGTCAACTTCCCTTTCTTGTTTGAAAATTACTTTTAGTCAGCTTTCCACATCATGAGCAGCCATATGCTAAGCCATGTTAACACGTGTGTTGTGACTAAATGACACATTGCTAGTCTTTTTTTTTTTTACTTTAAAGGCCGGGACACACCAAGCCGACAGTCGGGCTAGTTTGTTTGGTGTGTTCCACTCGTCGGCGGCAGTTTGCCCGATTCAACATGTTGAATTGCCGTCGGGGCCGTCGGGACCGCCGGGACCGTCAGCGCGAGTGAGAGCTCTGATTGGATGTTCAGTTTAGCGAACGAGTCAGTGCCCGAGAATGAAAGCGAAAGTGATGAAAACAAGCACGTAAATGAAGGCGGTACAGACAGAAGGCTGTTTAAATGTTACGTGATCTTTCCCAATCATTCTAATACGCGAATGTTTTCATAACAACATGAGCCGCTTAAAATTATTAAAGTAATCAACGTTACTGATATTCAAATGGTAAGCAAGCGCTGCTTTGTTTACGTTTCGTATATCTGCGTTTATCTCGTATATCTTTGTTTCGGTTTCTCCTTTTGAATGATGAATATATACTATTGATAGCTGTTGATATAGACAGTTAATTCCTCTCATCTCACGCATGCGCAAGAGCGCACGTGTTAGTTTGCCGTCGGCTGTAGTCTGTGCAGTGTGTTCGAGCGCAGCTTTTTGGTCCGACGCTGCCGACGCGAGGCGACAACACCATCGGCTTTCGTCGCCGCTAGTTCTTTTAAGTCGGCTTGGTGTGTCCCGGCCTTAAGACTGAGATTCTCAATTTTTTTTTGTCAGTCGAACCCTTTAGATGTAAAATATTTACTTGAGATTTTAGGTTATAATTACAGTAATTTACATTTATATTTAGTCATTTTGCAGACGCTTTTATCCAAAGCGACTTACAATCGGGTAATACATAAAGTTATTAATAAAATTATTTATATAAATGATTTTTCTTAAAGAGGCAAACAGACACAGGAAGTGCTCGTAATACCAAGTTTCAGGCATTGTTCAAATAAGTAAAAGCTAGAAAGGGAAGGAATAGGAAAGTGATTTTGAGCCTCTCTGTGATGGTACCACGAGGCATTGCTCACTAGCAGATCTCAGACTACTGGAGGGGATGGAGATTCGTAGTAGTGAGTGGAAGTAGGCGGGTGCTGAGCCTGTGGTTGTTCTATATGCAAGCATTAATGTTTTGAACTTGATGTGAGCCGAAAAAGGTAGCCAGTGCAAGGAGAAAAGAGAGGTGTAACATGGGCTCTTTTGGGCTCGTTGAAGAGCAGTCGTGCCGCTGCATTCTGAAACATTTGTAGAGGTTTGATTGTGCTTGATGGAAGTCCTGCCAGAAGAGCATTGCAGTAGTCCAGCCTAGAGATGACAAGGGCGTTGGATCATCTGGTTGAAATGAGAGATAGAGCTGTGTGTCATAAGCATAGCAATGGTAGGAGAAGCCATGTCCCTGTATGATGGGACGCAGTGATGTTGTGTATATGGAGAAGAGGAGGGGTCCAAGAACTTATCCCTGAGGAACCCCAGGCTTCCGTGACTGACAGTAGCACAGTCTCAGTTGAATGGCCTCTCCTGAAACCTGACTGGTTAGTAGGGTTGCAAAATTCCGTGAATTAACGGGAATTAATGGGAATAAACTGGTAATTTGCAAAATTGCAGGTACTGGGGACTTAAATGCAGTTGAGAAAATATCTTGCCGCATAATCTTGGTTAAAACAACCTGATTTAATGCAATTTCAGTTTAATTTCTACCCTACACATTGCTCAGTCTACCCTACACTTTGCTCAATCACATGCCCACAGCACACTGCTTACTGCAGGGCTATTGAGGCCACACCCCCTACATGCACTGTGCTTTACTCCATAACATGAACAGATCATTTCTTAAATCCTGCACACAAAATATCAAAATGTCCATCTTGGTAAGTATACATGTAAATTACATGAATATTACAAAAAAAATGTTTAAAACTTCCTTGTGCTGTGCGTAATATACTGTGCAACTAAATTAGGCTATACCATTGTAAAAACAAATACACTGACTGAACAAATATTTAGGTGAGATAATAATGAAACAGAAGTCTAAAAATGACCCTCCCCCACACACAATCCCCCCTAGTCACCTAAGAGGGGGATTCCCCTCCATTTTCTCTGAAGCCACACTTGCTGCATTTGAACCCAAAGACCAGGCCCGGATTAGGAATTCAGAGGCCCCTGGGCACAATGTCTTGTCGCCCCCTCCCAAGGTTTTAAATTATAGGGTACTATTTGTTGGAAACACCTCTAGCTTATAGAGTATTTACACACAGGTTACAGCCTATGATCGCATCCTCTGTCATACAGGATTTACATCACATGATTGCAACAATGCTTTCCTGCACCAGCAGCAATCTTTGCAACAAGTGTAAATAGTAATTATGCTATCTGTACTTTATATTGGCAGATACTATTTGCACCTCAGTATTTTTGTATATTAACAGAATAATAACATAGGGACTCCTTCATGAAACTTACGTAAATATGTGAGTAAATTCAAAGTAATCTGCCCGTAAAACAGACCTTCCCGAAAACTCTCCTCCAGATTCACAAACGCTTTGTAAACATCAGATTTGATAGTTAAACATATGTATGTGAATGAATTCCAATCATTCGTAAATAGAGCGCGTGTGCACGCTCATTCACAATAAACATAATCTATGAATTACAGCTATGTAAGTTACGTGTCCAGGTACACAGTAGAATATTCTGGACTCGCTTCTCAGGTTTGGCTCCAGTATATT